AGCATAGAGAACTAGCTTCTCTTTCTTGATGGTGCTCTCGGGCTCCTTCAACATATTGAGGAGCTCAAGGAGAGTCACCTCAAGCTTGTTCAAGTAAAAAATCATAATGAATTAAGAAAAGTAGTTTGGTAGGGACTGAAGCACAAGATCCACACACAAGACCATTTCTAGACCCGTGAACTTCTTTATCCACTCAATCATCTTAAGGACATGGTTCTGAACTAATGTCACCTCAGTCATCCTAGCGCGGAAGAAACTCTAGAATATCTCAAATCGTTGAGTTCTTCCCTGTTCCTCAAACATCAAGCAATTTATGGAGATATAGAAGAATGGATCTGATATTCATTTTTTTATATTGCCACTATAACTTAGGAGTCATGGAGCCCAACATGTAACACTGAGCAAGGGTAGAATTGTCTAAGTACTTCATGTAGCGAGCGATCTCATCCTCACTTGCTCCTTCCTCAAGCATGGGTATCATTATGTCAAGGACATACACGATTTTCTCCACCATGAGAATGATTCTTAGGTTGCGGAGCTAATCCGTGTAGTTTGGACCAGTGAGGTGGTTGACATCAAGTACGCCACGTAAGGGATTTTAAAGCAATATTTTTCTTACAAACAAAAGATGTAGCAGAAATAAATTACACATAGATTTTGTATAAAAAGTAAACAATCAAGATATGTACTTCTATCTTAATCAACTCATACTATTTTCTAGTGAAACACACAACTCCCTTTAGTATATGAATCGGAGACCCCCGATGGATCTCTAGTGGGGACCAATCGATATTTTGGTGTAACCTCAAGAGACTCGACCAATTACACTAAGCCCGAAAAAGTAGGCAACTCTTGCCGATCACAACTCCTTATGATTCTCATTCTATTCGGCCTCTGAATCATCATGGTCTCGAAGGACTCGACCAACCATGATGTTTGGTTAAGTTATCACCATCATTACAAGATGAGTCTGATTTGATTATATGCCCTCGAGTGACTCAACCAAGCATACCATGTCATTCGATCACTAGCGACATCTCTCTATCGTAGGCAAAATCTTGAATCGTAATATAGGTGAGCCTCGAGGGACTCGACTAACTCAATTTACATTGGAATTCGATTTCTCCCTATAGTGATGGAAGGCCACGTGGGTCAATCTAATTGCCTCATGCTTACTGACTTAATATTATCATGAGAGGGGATTTTGATTCAGTTTCCTAATATGACGTGTCACACACACACACACACACACACACACACACACACACACACACACACACACACACACATATATATATATATATATATATATATATATATATATATATATATATATATATATATATATATATATATATATATATATATATATA